CCATGACTGATACTCAAAAGTGCTGTGTGTTGAGAGTTGGGTGAAAGTTTATTCTTTCAAAAATACATATTTTTAAGATGAATTTGAGAATAAAAGATGTCTGAACATGCTAACCTAAGTTTCTGTTCCTAGTTCGGTTCTCATTCCTTGCATAAATTGCAAGCAGCTTCATTGAAACTGAAGGAGTTACCCTTGTCTAGACCTGTATGAAATCAGAACGCATTAACAGATACCTCTTTACAGAGCAGGATCTTTCACAAGCAGAAAGGACTAAAACACAGTAGCTTCTTATTCATACTCCATATAGACTCTCCAGTTGGCAAAGCCCTTTGTGGCAGCACTGTCTGTTTTTACACATTATTTTGTTTTGTTTTGTTTAGTTAGGCTTTGCTATACAAGGGGTTTTATTGTTCAAGAGGAGGCAGTCCCACCCTTGCTAGTAGTCATCATGCCATACTATTGGGTAATTATAGCTCTTTACATGCCAAGATCTCAGACCAAGAAAAGGCAGCCAATCCTGATATGGGAAGACACACACTGGCACAAGAAAAAAAAAACAACACAAACAAACAAAAAAAACCAAACAACTAGCTAGAGAGACAATGAAGAGAGAAAAACAGAGAGAGACATTGTATGGGATTGTGCTGTATCTGCTTATGACAGTAGCATCAGGGGCAATGTTGTTTTTCCCCAGTAGTTTTCCAATATAGTTACTCCATTCACTGATGAATTAAGACTATGTGAAACTGTGCCAAAGCTAATCCAGTCAAATTCCACCCAGATGGTTAAATCCAATTGCCTGTGCCTTCCCCCACAAAAGCTTCCCTGGTACAGTTTGCTTTGTTCCCGCTTTCCTCCTCTGCCAAACTGCAGCTCTGTGCTGTGCGGGTGATCTTCCCTCGTGCACAATGCCTGGGCTTCTGACTGCCTCCAGGCACAGATCTTAACTTGTTCCATCCCTGGAGAGATAAAAAAAAAATAAAGTATGAATGGTTAAGTGTATATATAAATATTCCAGTATGAAATGTTTCACCCAAAACAATGATCAGCCTTTCCCTAATTGAGGGATACTCTCTATTTCTGCAGTAATTTCAGTTTGGTGAGAGAACTGGCAATAATACTCCAGATAATATATTATCTGGCTATTATATATTATCCTAGGATTCTCCAGTTGTCACACACTTCAGAGCAGGACTGTGACTTTGTGCCCTAATTTACTGCCTAGAATATTACCTCTTCAGTAGCTGGCAGGAGATTAACATCCTAATTCATGCACAGCAGTTAAATACATATAGTAGATAGCCTGAATTTTGCCCTTTGCGTTCAAAAGAAATCGTGATTTACTCCATGTGCTGCTCTCAGAGTCAGAAAAGCTGCTTACTCACTAAGATACAAGAGTGCCGTTCACCAAAGGGCTGCCTTCAGTTGACGAAAATCCATTTGAAATGTTTTCAGCTAGGTAACACTGAGCAGGAACTCCATAATTTACACAATTCTTGTTAAGTCTTGTTAAGACCTGTGACTGGTCACTGCAGGATCACTCTGCCAAGTACCATACAAACCTCCAGGTACCTCTGATGACAGCATCATGGTTGGGGTAAGCATAGGAGGGGCTCCAGATAGCTTGTGACATGGCTGAAAGGACATTTTTTGGCAAGCACTGGAAAACTTCCTTCAAGAAAGAGAAGACTGCCTTAATCCTGGAAGACTCAACACCCTAAACAAAGAGGGAATGTGCCCCAGGAGTAGTCCACCCAAACCCACACATCTAAGTGAAGTCTGAGCCATGATGGGTGAACGCATCCTCTAGAGGAATGCGAAGACTTCGCCTTCCTGGTTGGGTCAGAATCAAGTGGGAAGAACTTGCCTTGAGGAAGAAAGTCTTTTGCTGCCACTGAATTGGGGATTGCAACATAAGTAACAAATAATAATAAAAAAAATCAGAGGGTTGATAATTAACATCCCTCGGCTGTTCATCACTGCTGTGCTAGTTAATATTCTAGTCAAAATAAACTTAGGCATGATTGTAAACAGAGGTTAGGGTATGATTCAGTCGACCAGCCAAATCACTTTTCACATTTGTATGTAGGAATGTTCATTTTAAGCTTTCTTCTAAAAAAAATCCCATACAACCATTAACCCTGAGATAAATTTGGCAATATAGCATCTTAGACTTTAATGCCTAAATTGTTAGTAGGACTCCTATTAAACATTAGGTGGCAGTGTGGGGAAGGTATTGTATGACACAAATTTCTCAGAGTGAATCTGGAAGACAACCTAGAGTCAGAACATCTAGTTGTCACCAAACCTTTATTTTAAAGGATTTCATTTTATTTTTTTAACCTGTGTTTCCTATATCATTATGTTTGCAAGCAGAAAGTACTTTGGGGTTAAAAAATATTTATCACTTCTTTGTACCTCAAATAGGTAAAAACCTTTTCTAAGCAAAACAGTGACCTACATCTTCTACATTTTTTGATGACGTACCAGGAAGACTTCAAGAACAAAATTTAATGGGTCACATTATTAACATTAAACCTATAAAAGTACATTGTCTGCCGTATAGTGGAGATGCTACAGATTAAAAAATATCTTTATGCAGGAAGAAGCCCTTTGTAAACAGAGGTAGTTCAGCACTGACCAGCCTTGGCCTTAGTTTTAGGTGCTTTATGGCGTTCCTCAGCTGATGCATTAAGTCCCTTGGGAGGACAAACTCATGAAAATACATAACCTTAAACTTAAAGGACAGAATGGTCTCCAAGCAAGGAAAGACACAAAAGATCGTCTTTTGAAACACGACATCTAAGCAAGTCATGAGGTACAGTGAACTGTTCTTGCTTTACGGTGCCAACATTTATCAAATAATAATTTACTTTACACACTTGATACAGCTGAAATAAAGTTGTCACAACTGAAAACCAAACATGCTTTCCTGACGTATTTCATTTATTTACTTGTCTCGGCACTTAGATACCAGCGTGAGACCATTACCCTAGAGGAGTGTTCCTTTTCCTTGACCTTATCCTTAAGTAGGCATTGTAGCACCTTCGCCATTAGAACGTACTTCAGCAAGCTCTTAGGGCGAGAGGAGGTATAAAGGCATATGAAAAATTCAGAACAAGAGATTGCAAGCAGGAAAATAGGTTGCTACATAGTGATTACGTGGTCACCACTGGTGATCACAAGTATTAAATATTTTATATTTTAAAACATTTTTAATGTTTACCTTTAAAGTATATGGACTGAAGTTTAAACCATTTGTTTCTAATGAAGAAAATATTGTCTTTAGTTTATCTAGTTAGATAAGAAGACTTTGCAGTTAACCCATCTCCATCATTATGTTGTTGCCTGGTTTGTTTCAAAGATTATGAAAACTGAGGAATATGTACAACATAAAGATTTGACTAAGGATTTGTTATAATAGATTTAGAGATGTTAGAAGTCCTGTGAGGTGTGAGCTAGACACTTCGCTAACAGTTTATTTTTCTATTTTACGTATCCTAGGATAGATTTGATTCTTGCAAAGTTGTTTTTGATTTTTTTTTCTGATGACTGCTTATGACCATCTGTGAATTAATCGGCTCTGGCGAGGTGAGCGCGGTTTATGCCATGTCCTGGTCTGAGCAGAAGAGCGGGCTGGCAGCGGGCTCGGGAGCAGCTCCAGCCCTCCAGCTGAGGAGCTGGGTATGCCTGATGGTTGCAGAGACCTACGTGGTGGTGGTTGAAAGGGCTAGTTGACATTACATCCTACTATGGGACAATATTTCTAAGGCCCAGCACCAGCAAATGCTTAATTTCCTTTTGTTTGGATGCAGGCTACAGAAGAGACTAACACACAAAAGATACTAAATGTATTTTTCATCTTGCATTGCTCAAACACAAAAGGACAATGTAACAAATGGCTGTACCTCGCTGCTGCGGGGTATCGCAAAGTTATTTACAGAACCCCATCCACAACATGTTTTTTAAAATGTTATTTTTCTTTATTGTTTTGTACCCCAGCAGAGTAATTTGTATCAAATAAACATTGAAACACTGAATAAAAAATATTTTTTCTTTGCAATGTGTGATCTGAAAAAAAATGCAGTATGAAAACTTGAAATCTTTCATGTAATTATCCAACTTGGGGCATTATTTACAAAGACACAATTGTGTCTCTCTGTAATCGAATTATCAGTGAAACCGTTTGACTCCACCATGACTCAGACCTCCAGTAGTCACAAGATTTGCTCAGATTTATAAAGATTAGAAAACAAAACTAATGAGAAACATCCACAGTCTCCATCTTTAGGATTACACTGATACCGGAGAAAGGGATTTTGACTGGGAAGGCTCTGAATACATGGTAGGGGCACATCACCAGTCGGTTGCACGCTCTCTGTCCACTCATCTATGACCAACAGTGGAGTGGGGAGCTGGGCATCAGCTTCTCACAGATAATTAGTGATAGGACTCGAGGGAATGGCCTCAAATTGCACCAGGGGAGCTTTAGGTTGGAAATTTGGGGACATTTCTTCTCAGAAAGATGCAGTCAAGCGTTAGGGACGGGTTGCCCAGGGAGGTGGAGGTGTCACCGTCCCTGGGGGTGTTCGAGGAGAGGCTGGACGTGGTGCTTGGGGACGTGGTTTAGTGGTTGGAGCAGATGATCTTGGAGGCCTTTCCCAACCTCTTCAACCTTTATGATTCCGTGATGCCCTGAATTCCTGACGAAGCCGAGGACACACCCGGCTGCTGGGGGGCACGGGGCCGCTGCCGTGAGGGGCAGCACCCGAGGGGCAGCAGCGGGGCTGTGTGTGGGGAGCTGCGGCCCTCAGGGCGCGAAGCGCCGCCCGGGATCCTCCACCTCGGCCCCGCCACTCCTTTCGCCCATCCCCGTGCTTCGTGTTCACCTCACGGAACCCCACAGGGGGCTCGGAGCCGCCCGGCAGCGGGCAGGCGGCAGGCTCGGGGGCCGCCCCTCAGCCCCCGGAGAGCCGGGCACGGCCGGCGGCCCGAGCGGGAGGCGGCACCGCCCGCTTGAACCGGAACCGCTTGGCGGAGGCCGCCCGGGGCGGCTGCTGCTGCTGCTGCTGCTGCCGCTGCGGCTGCCGCGGTGCCGAGGGGGTGAGGGGGGCCCGCGGGGGCGGAGGAGGAGCGCGGCGGCCCCGCCGCCCGGCGATGGGGCTGTGCCTCGGCCGGCCCTGCGCCGCCCGGCCGCGCAGCAGCGCTTAGCTCGCCCTCCGCTGCCGCAGCCCTCGCCGCGGGGCTGCCGCCTCGGATGACCCAGCGGCGGGAGCCGCCGGCGAGTGCAGCCGCAGGGCGCCGCAGCCGCCGCCTCTCCCCATCCTCCTCCTTGTCCTCCTCCTCCTCCTCCTCCTCGCCCATGGCCGCCCGCCGCCGCCGCTGCTGCTGCTGCTGCTGCTGACCGGCCGCCCCTCGCCTCCTCCCCGGCCGGGGTGGGCTGGAGCCGCGAAGATGGGGAACACCACCTCCTGCTGCGTCTCCTCCAGCCCCAAGCTGCGCAGGAATGCCCACTCCCGGCTGGAGTCCTACCGCCCCGAGGCCGACCTGAGCCGGGAGGACACGGGCTGCAACCTGCAGCACATCAGCGACCGGGAGAACATCGACGGTGAGGGCGGGCGGGCGGGCGGCGAACCCCGGGGGGGCTCCGCTCCGCTCCGCTCCCCCCCCTCGCTCCCCGTCCCCTCGCCCTGCCCGGCCGCGGTGTCCCCGCGTCCCAGCCCCGGCCGTGTGGCGCCGGGGTGCGGTGCCCGAGCCCTGCGGCACCTCAGCGGGGTGCTGGGGGACGCCTGGGCTGGGCTGCGCGGAGCCGGGCCTGTCGCGACTGTCGCCTGTCGCGCATATCGCCGGCGGCGGGCAGAAGCCGCAGGGGCTGCTCCCCGGCCCCTCAGAGCAGGAGGAGCTGCACCCCCTCAGGCTGTAGGGGCCCCGGTTACCGGCAGCACTGACCCCACAGCCTCACCTGGGGAAGGTCAGCGGCGTCCCGGGGCAGTGCCCACGCCAGGAGGAGCGACTTTGCCCGCCGGGGTTTTTATTTTCGTAGCTGGTGTGATGGGGGTTTTAGCACGGTTCTGTGCTAAGCCAGTTCCTGGCACTGGGGAGGTTGTGAAGCCCCTGGTAGCGGATGGGTGCCCGCTCTGGGTAAGGGTATTTCTCCGAATTCTGGAATTCGGTCCTGGAAATCGGAATGTTTTTCAGATGTCTTTGCTGCACGCAGCTGAAAAATCGGAGTGTAAGAGGAGCAGTAGGTGGAAAAAAATACATAATGGTCTGCTCTGAGAAAGTCAGGGAAATGAAAGAAGCAATTGTTGGGCTCTGAATGATGAATTCTGCCAGCAGCAGCGTTGTCCAGCGTAGCAGCGTGCATCTCTATCCATACCGACAGATCCTGCAGTAAAGTTTTTGGTCGGATCAGTGTGGGTTTTGTGCCTTGTTCTTGCTGCCTTTTTTTTTTTTTTCCTCCCCTGGATGGGAGAAGGGCATAGGTGAAAATAGTAAGGGCATGTGTGCTTGCTAAGATGTGCATACAATGCAGATAACTTCCTGTAGCTTAGTGATTATATCAAGAAACAATCTGTGTTGGGTGGTTGTTCCGTGTCTTGGAGCAAGGCACGTGTCTGCTCTGTCTCTCTTTAAACTGTGGTATGTTTCAATCCTGGGGCGGGATTTTTAGTGTTCTAACAAGTTACGTTTTGTATTAATAATTTTTGAATGTTTGTTGTTGTTGTCTGTTTGTTTTTTGTGTGTGCTTTTGCTTTTTGTCCAAGACTGCTGTTGGTGAAGTGCCATGTTTTCAAATGGGCAAGCTGTCTGATTCTTGAAAAGAGCAAACAATTGCAAGTTTCATTTTTGTGCCTTGCTCTGATCTTGCTGCTCTTTATGGGTAGGGGCCAGGAAATAACTTGTCACTGAGGAGACTGGTGGTCAGTAAATGCCTGTAGACATGAAACAACTGGAGAGAGCTGGGTAAAACAGCTCTTTGGAGTGTGCTTTGTTGCAGAGCTGCTACCCTGGAGTTATCCTCACTGCAGGTCTTTTAGTCAGAGATGGCAGGCTGATTGCTAAGGGTAGTAAGAGGATACCGTGTTTCTGAAATTTTATTTCTTGTTAGACTACCTGTTAGGTTTTCATGGTCAGGTTGCTTGAAGTTGTACAGCACACACATGTTCACAGATGAGTCATGGGGGTGAAAGAAAACTTCTTAACAGGGAGCTATAATGATTTTTTTTAATAATTTTACAATTGCATGAAGATATTTGAACAATGGAAGAACAATAGCCTGCTTATCTCTGTCATGCAGAGAAAATGCTGGATGCTGATTCCTTGATATTACCACAGATCATGAACTATTTCCAGGAGTTTCTCGAATTGCAAGTGTTTGCCAAATGTTCTTTTTTTTTTTTTTTTTAAGCAAGTGATGATAGCAACTGATGCACTGAACGAGAACGTTTCTGACACTTTACTTCATATTTATTTTTCCTGCTGCTCTTCAAATGAGAGCCCATCCATCCAGCCCGGTGCCAGTGACAGAGGCTGCCAGGCACAAGAAGTGCAAATTCACGTCTCTGGCAAGCCTCTGCTCTGCGAGTGCTGCTTCCAGGAGCTGAGCAGTCATGGCATGCAGCAGCTGAGTTAACATGGTTCACGTGGAAGTTGCTTTCATGCTCATGTTCAGCAAAAGTCGTGACACTTTTTTTATTTTGGAGTGGGTAAAGCTGCTTGAATAGAACAGGAACTTTTAAAGCCTTTAAATCACTTGTGGGCCGTTTCTGAGTTCTTAAGAGATGGGTGGTTTTCCTTGTTGCAGACCCTGGTTCTGGGAGTATCAGAGGGAAAGGGGAAAAAGAGGGAGGAGTGACCCAGCTCTAACAATGGTTTAAGTGGAACCGTTAGTGGTGGAAGTGGAACTGCTTGAAGTTTGCCAGTGTTAAATACCTTATAAAGAAACATTTGTCAAATCTGCTTTCAAGGTCATGCCTTTAAATCGTCTCATCTGATTCAACCCAATCCAGTAGCAGCTTTTCAAAGAATGGCTGGTGGAGTTCTGCTTCCTTAGGAATGGTTTTATAGCAAGATATTATCTCTGTGTCAGTGGTACCTTGTCAGAAAATCTCCATTTCTGTAATGCTTCACAACTGTTTATGAAGTGATACCTGAAAGAGAAGGGAATTTTGAAAGAAGATAGAATGGGAGCAATTTATCAAATGACTTATGCCAGAGAATGTTAATGGTGGATTTATCTCTCTTTTACGGTCTTTTATGGTTTTTCCTAAAATTTCTAAAAGGTAACTGACTTCTTTAAGACTCCACACATGCCCAGTTGACTCGATAATGTGTAGTCCTCAGGATGCCTTTTTTTTTGTACAGGCTCATGATAGCAAAGACCACCCAGCAGATTTTGACTTTTCTCTCTGGAGACAGAAGAAGAGGATGATGGTAACATACAGTTCAGAGGTTACCCTCCCTTGGCTACCTGCTCTGTTTGATGATGATTGTTAAGGGGCAGCTTCGACATTTTTCAGTGCTTCACATTTAAAAATCTACTTCAAGAAAATTCTGGTGGTAGGTTCAAGGTTTGCAGGCTCCTAGCTCAGTCCTTTAGCCAACAGGACATAGATTTACAACAGTGTTGATGACAGCAATAAGTAGAAGCAGTAGAAACCTTGACATTTCAGGTTCTGTGTCTCATTTTGTGTAAACATCTGTACGTGCATGCCATGGAAGTGGCTCTGCTGCGTGTTTAAATCCTGGCTAGCTGGAGGGCTGTGGTGTGGGCTGCGCTTCGTTCTGTACTCCAGCAGCTCGCCCAGCCAGACCCGCTGCTGCCTTATCTCGTGCAAAAGCTGAGCTGGAAAAGGGGGCTGTCAGGCGTGATCTCCCTGTTGGGGGCATGATTTCCATAGTAAGCTTCTCAAGTAATGAGCTGTAGGGACGGGACACAGGATATCTTGCCACAGATAAGATGCCATGAAGCGAAGCTGCTCTACCTCATAGTTAAATTGGGCAAAATGAGGCTAGCTGGAGAGTTCCTAGGCCACTGTAAGGGAAGATGGTACTTAATGATTACACCCTCCACCTGTCTCTTCCTTCCCTCTCCCCCCCAAAAAAAGACCCTATGATTTTTTTTCCTCTTTGTAAACTCCTGCTAATGTCACTAGGTCATTTTTCATTGCTAACTCAGATAATGTCATCCTGTGCAACTGGGCATCACAGATAAACCTCTTCAGCCCTTTTCATCATGTGCCAGTCATGTTAATTTTTTTGCTGTATAATGCACAGACTACTAAGACTGGACTGTTTTTTTTTTAAAGCCTTTTTTTGTTCTTTTATTTATTTTTCCCCACCCTCTTGAAAATAGCATGTGGGAATCCCTGAAAAGAGATTATTTAGCATTTGTATATCTCCATCTTCAAGAGCTAGGGCTTGATGGGTTGCATGTTGTGAAGGAAATGACTTACAGTCACAGGAGTGAAGATAGGAGCACTTCAGAAGCAAATTAAAGATTAATAATCTGTTTTGCATGGACATTCCTGGTAACATCTGTGTCATAACAGGATAGCCCTTCTTTTTTCTTTTTTTTTTTTTTTTCAAAACAAATAGTGTGGTTTACATGAGAGTCTCTTTCAATAATCTTCTTGCTCCTTTGGCCAGAATGCATGCACAGAGGTGTCCATACACTTTCCAATACTGTCGTTTGTGTTGTGCTCCTAAACACTTGTCAGAGGTCATGCACCGGAGTACCACAGCAACCTGGTGCATTAAAAATCAAAAAGAACCTGCCATGTCCCACCTCACCAGGCTTCATCATATGCTGCACACTGCATGTGATGCATATGTACCTCACAGCTTTCTTTTGTACTTCACTGCCACCCTCATCTGTTCACTGGGGTGTTCCCTGCTCCTCAGAGAGGCACCATCGTGTTGTATAAACCCTTCCTAAAACCTCACTTTTACATCATTCACATCAAATCAGTTAATTTACACCCTTTATGAAGTGAGTATCTTAATATTTAGCAGCAGAAGGTTTCAGATGCACGCATGCTAAGGCTAATCATATTTGGACTTGCTGCTAACTAATTTTATTAGGGCACTGCCATCTGATGAAGACTTTCTTTGAAAGTGAGTTACACAAGATCAACAGTCTTGGCTGAGTAAATTGGTACTTGAAGTAGAACGACATGATTTAAAATTATAGGTCTCTGAAAATGTAAAGGACTGCCGTATTTTGTGGTAGGTTTTTTCCTTAGATTTTACGTTCAGTAGGAATAATGTATTAAAAAGAAACAGAGCTGCAGATCTGACTTATTTGTCCAAAAAGCAGTCCTGCAAGTTTGGCACCCACATGTGGTGGGACGCTGCTTCCTGAACCACATGAGATGCTGGGTGCATGTTTGCTGGGTGCATCTCACACCTTCCCCTGAGTACCGCTTGCTCTCTGCTGTCTGCAGTGAGTCACGAGCATGGAAGGTGACTAAGTGAGAGTACCCAGCACAGCTGTAGTGGCTCTTGTTTTGTGGGCCAGCTGCAGACCAGGCATAGCCTAAGTACCCCCCCTGTGTATCTTTGCAAGCATATGAAATACCTTTTACAAACTGACAGTATAAATGC